AAAGGGCTATTTTGCAGACTGTTTTGAAAAGTGGAAGGGACGCTGGGATAAGTATGTAATATTCTAGGGGAATTATTTTAAAGGGAGTGTATGGCACCATTAACCTATACAAGGCTATTTTTTTAGTAAATGATTGGCTATTTTCTGCACATATCTCGTAAACTCCTGTATAAGCAGAGATATTATGATCAAGTTTTAAAACCAAAAATTGGGAGTCAATGGCTTCATCTGGTCGAATGACGAGTAATGCTAAGATGAGATCTTACCTTCAAATATTTATAAGTTAAAAGGAATTTCATAATAAAACTGATTTTTCTGCAATTCAATATTTTGCTCCAGAACCTTTAGACAACTTTGCAGTAGTAATAGTTGCGCATGTAGTCTCCTAACTTTTTTCTGGCGTTTTCTACGCGAGTAGTAAACCCAATAAATATTTGCCCCCCCTTTTTTGTAGACTTATTCACTATTAAATTTTTGTTGTATTTTTACGTTATGATCGATTTGTTCTAATTAATATTGAAGTTTTTGCTAATATCACTAATTCAAAATTTTGCTCCAAGGAAAAATAGACGTTTATTGTTTAATACATAACCATATTTTTAATACTAGTTATTATTTTTTATATCAGCTAGCACACGCACACACATCCCCACACACACAGAGATTATATATATATATATATATATATATATATATATATATATATGTGTGTGTGTGTGAGTGCGTGTATGTATGTGTGTGTGCGTGTGTGTTTGTGTGTGTATGTAAAACTTCAACTCACATAAAAAATTACATCATTTTTGCACCCAAAAGTGTTTTACTTTCTGTTTCTAATTTCAGGTGACATATTTCCCTTATTCAGTTTGAATTTCTAAGACGAGGAGTTATCCTTATTTACATTTGGATTAATGTCCTCATCTTTGTTGTTATTATTCCACTGACTCGGTTGTTGTGCCCTCCTGCCTTCTTCAGGTGTTCGTCGGTTAAACTTCTGGTAATTTCGAATTGAACCCTTTATTTCATTGATAGCGGAATCAGAACAATCTAACCCCATAGATTAGATAATGGATTCAGTTCGAAATTCCTTGAAGGTTTCCCGGATCGACAGACATCAAAAGACGTTTGGAGAGTACAACGTTGGGATAATAACGACAAAGATAGGGACATTTCCTACTCTGTAGAATTTTCAGACAGCTCTTTTTATACTTGTTTTAGCAATCTATTTCTACTATTTCTTTGATTTTCTGTTACTGGATGACAATTTTATCTGAAGTATTTTCACTATTCAGTATATTTTAACAACTCTTCATCTTTGGTATTATCAACAGAATATTTCGACCAATACAATATTCGGTCTTCGTCTATTTTTTCATTATTCTATATATTATTCGAATCATTTTTTACAATGATATTCACTCTGTACAAGACCTGGGAACTACTGAGTTAGAGTGTTATCAAGTAAAAGGCGCAGTTTGTTTTCATCTTGATCATTATAAAGAAATATTTTGCTCCAAGGAAAATTTTTAGGTCTTTTACTCTCTGAAAATTCGATAATTATTATATATATTTTTCAAATTATCTTCATCTTTGTTGTTTTTAACTATTTTCGGTTGCTATGGTTTGCAGCCTTCCTCGTGTATTACATCCGGAGGTTTTTAAAAAGTTGTATCATTCTTCTTTTTTTTTTCCTTTATCATTTCCTGGATAAAAATATTTTTAACCCGTGGAAATTTCATGGTTTTCCTATTTTAATATTCTGATGAATCTTAATTCCTGTTAATGAGTGAGAAAGCTCATGGCGATTTCTACGACAATAATATATTCATAGAAATTCCCCTGTCGCATCATTAAATATTTGAGCTTAACAACTTTAACAAAATATTGCAATAACAATCATAAATATGAATGCCGGTCGTAATTTTAAGAAGTCGGTACAAATAAAAGATTTGAAATTGACAACTTCTCCATTAATAATTGAGTTCAGTTATGTGCATGCGTGATACACGCTTAGGCGATCATGTATCTTTCGATACATGACTGACGAGGTAGATTTTTTTCCCGCAGTAGGTTACCATTTCTTTCTGCGGTAGACCAGTTACTATCCAAGTCTATAGTCCTGCTATTTACCTATACCTTTCCTCAGAATTTTACTGCTTTACGAAATCATGACGTAAGTGAGTGTAATGGGTTCAACTGGAATTCGAACGCGGTTCTCCGACTCCTCAATCCGAGCTGCTATTTATTACTCCACCAACAGCCGTTAAACACTTTCGTCCGTCTTTCTTTCTTTCTTTCTTTCTTTCTTTCTTTCTTTTTTTCTTTCTTTCTTTCTTTCTTTCCACATTGAAACCAAGTAGTGTATTTTTGAACCTTTCCCCACGATCAAAGTAAAATAATTCATTATCCACGATGTATTGGCAGGAAACATTAAACTCTTCTTTCTTTCTTTCTTTCTTTCTTTCTTTCTTTCTTTCTTTCTTTCTTTTCTCACTGAAACCAAGTAGTGTCTTTTCCCCTCTTTCTACGCGATCAAAACGGAATAGTACATTATTTATGATGTATTAACAGTGTGTAACTGTCATGCAAACTAACAAAGGGAGGAGCAAATACAATTATAATAGGACAATAGGGACACTATACCAATATTTGCGTAGAACTATGAGAGCTTTCTTGCTAGGGTTAGAAACAGATTTATGCCTCTCAAGCTTTATACTAACCCCAAATATGAAAGGACTTAAGTTGATGGAGTCATAGAATCAAAAATTCATGTTCGCGGCAGATGCTGAACAAAATTGAGAAATAAAGACAGCTATATCGTTTCACGAAGGCAACAATCATAAAAAACAGTATTTGAGTTTGTTAGAGGAGAAAGATACTTAATTGTTGAGATCCAGGCCATCCCAAGAGTTGTGACCCAGGCTATTCCAAGAAAAGGCCTCGCAACCATGCTGATTGTATCTCAGACTTGAAGTTAGCCTTTACTCTTTAATCTACAATTACGGAGAACATTTTGACACTAGGACTTATTAGTGATATCAGTAATTATTTTAATTAACAACTATAACTAATAGTAAGGATCAATTATTATTATTTTTTATTGTTCAGAAGGCCAAAAAATGTACCTGTATAAATAAATCAGAAATTGATTTCAACTTTTACAAAATACTCATCAAAGAAGCATAAAATTACTTTAGGGGAAATAATGAATATTGAAACAAAAAAAAAAAATCAATAATTTCGGTAATATTTCAAAGTTTTATTCCACGGTTCAAAGTTTTATTCCACGGTTCAAAGTTTTATTCCACGATTTTTATTATATTTATAATCCTAGGCTTAACTTTCACAAATATTGTTTGCAATAATTTCATAAAATATAAACAAAATACATTTGTTACTGTGCTGACATTTTAAGACAACTTCACAATCTTTATATTGATTCTTTGACGGCCTTAAGAGTCTCAAACAAACAATTCTTGAAAATATAATGCCATGCATTCTTTTGCTGGAATGGTATATTTTGTAAATTAAACTAAAAAAATATTTTTAAAGAATTTCTGCAAGCCTTTCATTTAACAACATTGGACATAAAAAAGAAAAATACCCACTGAATTGTGGTGTCCAGTGATATTTTGAAATGTTGCCTCGTTGCGTGACCTTTATTTTGGATAATCATGGTTCAGGCAGTAGAGAAGGGGCGAAGAAAGTAACATTGTATTGAAAACAGTTAAGATAAAAACAAAAGGCAGGAAAATATAGTATATACAATAATAGTAATAAAATCAGTTCAATAACCCTGTTAATAACCTTCCTCGAAAACGACAGAGAAGTGAGTACTTTTTGATAGAATACATAAACAAAACGATTCTTTTCGACCAAAGCGGCTGAGTTTTACTGGACGACCCTAAAACATATTTTACTGCTTTACGAAATCATGACATGACCTCGAACCGACCTTGACAGCTTCAAACAACAAAAAAAGAAATTCACAACAGTCATAAAACTGGCGAAGGGCAAAGAGCGGCATCCATGTGTCAATTCATAGAAGGATGACACAGCTTTGTAATTATTGTTGCTCGACAAAAAGTTAACATATGCGAAAGACCGAAAACAAAGTTTATTCCTTTGGATTGATTTAATCTCCAAGAGTTCCGCTCATAGCGTATTTACAGATATTGAATGCATTGATCTATTTCAATAAACAGTTATACGATAATGTGATCTTAAATGATACTTCCTTATCGAGCGATCTTTTACAACAAAGTAGACATGTTTTTTTGGTTTCTTTTTAATTTAAATTCAACGATGGTGTTTCTATCTATTATTTCATATTTAATTTGTTTAGTCTATTCTTGAAACCTCTTCTAGACTATCAATTTATCTATCTCATTTATTTATCTCTTATTTTTTCTCAATCCGCTTATCTTTCTAGGTAGCTAGCTAGTTCTCTCCGTCTATGCATTATCCATCTAATTTTCTAAGAGCTCTTTTCTCATAATGTACCCTAGAAATTACAACTGTTTCTCTCCTAATAAAAATATTAGTGCCTTTTTGGTTTTCTATTCCCCTTAAAACTTCTGTGAATCTGGATTCTCGATTTTTACATATTCAAAAACAATACACAAATCGCCTTTCGGCTAAGCATTTCTGTTCATTTACGAGACTCAGCCTCTCTTTCATAGAGAAAAGGATTGACCTTTTGCTTCTGAAAAAGATGGATTTGAGCTAATATATTAATAAAAGAAGAGGTCACCAACGTCATACATCATAGTGCCACAGCAACAAGCACTGTGTGCAAGCACACTTAATTCCATAATATTGTATTTGGGTTAAACTTAATGCGTGAAATAAATATATTATTCTCGATTACAATCTCGACGTCATCAACACAGGGTTTAACTCTGTTACGAGGGAAAATAAATGGTGCAGTATAGCCTGAACAAATTACACTACAAATGTCCAGTAAGAGCAATTCTTGTCGCTATCTCGAGCGCACGTGTCGCGCGCATTGTATGTCGAGTGTTAGAATCTTGGCTTCTGATTCTGATAAAGATGGTCGGCTGCTCATTTGAACAAATAAATGACAACTCGTATTGTTTTGTCTATGACGATAAATTGATCCTCTCACCCCCCCAAACTCTCATCCGCTGAACACATTATTTATATTGTCTGATATCCAACGTCTTAGATGTCAAACGGAAATCTTTAAAAAAAATATGGGGGTGGGGTGGTTAATGTCCATTCTTAGAATCTTCTTCAAAGGATTTTGTTTTTTTTTATGTTTATGTGTATTTGTTCTGATGATCTTAATTACTACTTGATAGAATTGTTAAGCATTCTCAATCCAGTGTACCTAATTACTAACCGACAACATTCTGAATCTATCATTTCAACATGCTTGATAATTACCGTTCAACAGTAATTTACTAGGTCTTGAAAGCTTTGTTTAAACACTATAAGTGCCTCAAAGGGCCCTTACTCAATTTAGGACCGCCCCCCACCCCCGATATTTTCATATAAAAATATTCATTTGGAATTTCGTGCACATGCATTTTGAACCCAGGTATGTAACAGGTACATTGGTATCGTGCTAGATTATATTTGTTATATTTTATTTTAATATATAGATAATAGGTAATTAACAGAAAAAAGACAGGGTTTATCACTGTCAGAACGAACGTGATTGCTTGCCACTTTTTTTAACTTACGGTGACTATGTGCAGCGTTTTATACTCTAAGCTTATTGATTCCATTACAAGGATTATATTCTTCTTCTGTGTGTTATGTCCTTTCAGGAAGTTGGCTCTCCACAATATCTTATCCTTTGTAACTCTTAGTAAATTTTGTCTTTTTTGCTATCTCTCCTAAACCTTGTTCCGCCATACACATGCTTGTTAGGTAGGTTAGGTAGAACTATATTTTTTGCTTCATGTTTATTTTTTCATCTTTTACTGTCTTATAGAAGAATCTTTTTTAAGTAGCAGTTCAGTACTTTTTCTTTGTTTAAAGATTAGATAACAATCCTGAAATCACACTGAAATAAAAAAAAAAATATCAGACAAGATAAGGTTTGGGGGATATAAGATTTCAGCTCGAATATATTCTAAGATATTTTCTCTTGTGTTTCTCTTGCTATATATAGTGCTATCTGCGGTTGTATGTATATATTTTATAAAACATCTGTAACACAATAGCTTTCATAAATTTTGTCATACGTTTCATAATTTCTTCGAAGTTTTAGAAGCGAAGAATTCGTTATCATTCAATACACCCAAAACTCTTAACATTTCATCATCACCGAGAGGACCTTAAATCTGCACCAATCCTGAGTGATCATACCCTGAAAGAAGTTCTTTGCCTTGAACGCCTACTGGGGCTAATGCTCACTCAGACTTCAAATGGAACGTGTATATTGGTGGCATCGCAAAAGAAGCTGGAAGAATGGTTAGCTCATTGTATCTCTCCAGAAAATACTTAACTCCTACTGACATTCTCTATCTTTATAAGAGTTAGATCAGACCAAAAATGGAGTATTGCTGCCATATCTGGGCTGGTGCTACCCAATCCTCAATGTCCAGTCTCGCCAACCATTCACTACTATATCGCTATTACTAAGTTCGAGCGTTACATTTTTTAGTATTACCATCTCGGACATTCAGAGCTAGGACCCGCCATACCGTGTTCACTGTGGCAAACCATTCCCATTCCATTTGTGTTTCTTTGATAAGAATACAGGTTCCACTCAGAGAGCTTCTTCCCCAGAACTTATCAGAGAATACGTCACTGACAACTACAATCTTGGTTACTTTAAGTCCAGGATCAACCGATATCTATCCTACTCGTCCTTATAATACTCCCCCCTCTTTTACAATCACAATCAATAACCCTCTATCTTGAGTAACCATTAGGCCTTGTATTGGGTGAACTATCAGTAAAAAAAAATATTTATACGCCCACTCGCACAGAGTGTTACACGAAATCGAGTTTAATGTGAGATTTCGTTCGGCCGTGCAAAAATTACTCAAGCACCTGTTAGCGAGGACTCAGGTGCTGTGTCATGACTGATTTTTTGTCTGATTTTCATTGGACTTCTTTACTCGACGTTTGCATAATCCCAATTAAGTTCATCTTAAGTTTTCATATTTGAAAGAGGGATATCTTTTAGATTCAGCATTGTGGGATAAAACTTTCCAGCGTATTACGTTTCGGTTTTTTCTTCGCATGTGATTTTTGGGGTTTTACTTCAATGGGAAAATTAGATGTAAAATTGAGCGGGAAATACTAAACGTTTTCATTAATACACTACGGGTACAAAATTTGGTTGAAGTACAAATAGTTAGTCCTTGCCAAATGTATGGTTTCCTTCTTCAGGACTCTAAGCAGCTTGAAAAAAATATTAAAACTTCAAGTATTTATTGCTGGGGCTACTTTCTTCGAAAAAGTTAAAAATAGAAAGAAATGATAAAAATGTTATTGACCAATGCAATTATATTTGCAAAACAA